GTCCGAAAACTAAAAATGAATTCAAATTATTTGATTCAATTCTAAAGAAATCGTTGCGCTTTAATACTCATATTTCTACATCTCTGTACCTTTAAAAAAAACCCACATTTCTTTAAACTTTCCAAAACGACTTTCACTTCTCCTAAGAGAAAAAACTTATAAAAATTTCCGTATTTGTGGCACGTCGCACGAGCTGCTCTTCCCGAAGCATCTTTCAGAAGCTCTTAAATTGCAAGAAGAAATGGCCTTGAAAGAAAACATTTGGCCTTAGGAAACAGGTTTGGCAATGGACATTTGCCAAAGAGATTCGTACCGTTTAAACTCTGCCTGTATTGACCGTTCGTGTGCGGCAGATATCATCGCGGTGTGTTCGTTGCAGGCCTGCGTGTGAAAGAAAATAATTTCTTAAATGCATTTTGAATTGAACGCACAGATCCCCCGCGCGCGAACGTGTTTACGTTCGTGTGAGAGTGGCCGGGAAACGCGCGTCCCATGGAAACGGGTTGTATATTTCTCGAATGCGAAAGAACGGGGAAAGGAAATATTTTTGTTAACACGACACGTTGACTTCGTGTGATACACGGATCCTCGTGGAATCGTGTGCGAAATGAACTGCTTTGAATTCTACGGGAAGCTCGCAGTCACCTCCATGCAGGCACGCTTTTTCATTTCATGTCGCAAGTTATAGTAATCAACCCATTCGAGTACGTTTTGACACTGCTATTACGAATATTGCGTCAGCGTTCATATTTTCAACTGTCCCTATAATCACCGCCGGATATCTGGATGGTTGAACCTAATTAACCCCGCGACTGCAGCGGATTCTTCTTTTTCCATGGCACTTGTCTTTTTATTGGCTAATCTTAAGATTGTTAACAAGGCCGATACTGATTACATTTCCATGTAATATATTAATCATTTTTAAAGAACTTACTCACAAAAGTAAAGTTTCAGTCTTAAAAAGAAATAAACTCTAAAGTATTTTTTGAAAAATTCGAAGCCTTTAATAAAGGATGCGCAATACCATTTAATTAATTAATTGATTAAATAAATTATTTATAAATAAATAATTTCATATTAATTGTAAATTAATTAATTTATAAATATTAATATAAATTAATTATTTGCCAAAATAGAACAGCATAGTACTTCGAAATAATGCACAGAACATTTTAGCAATACAAACCGGCAGTCGATCATTATTTAATTATTTCATTATTTTGTATTCTATTCAACTTACAAGTAATCAATTAATCATTCGTAAAGTTATTATCATGAACCATCTTGCGGAAAACAAAGATAAATTTAAAAAAGAGCGTCGTCATTCTCATCCATGCTATGAAATCCCTGAAGTTCCTCGTAATCAAGAGGCTAACTATATGGTATTATGCACTTGACTGCAACAAGAATGCAGATCGTAGACCGAGATTTCCGCCTGCAACGTAGTTATTCGCACGTTTCCCCCGTTCGCAGCACTGTTAGGCTCTTTGATACATTTAGGCAAGAAAACGGGGATTTCCTTGACTGGTTGATGATGAAGTCATGCCTCGCGTGTAGGTTTACAATAAACGGAGTTACAGCTGCTGCATTGATCGCCTGCAGGCAACAAGACAAAGAGCGAGAGCTAGTTTGTGTTTGTCCTTTCTCTGTCGAGCACGTTGTTACGAAATCGTTTTGTTTTAACGAGCGTTCGTAACGCGACAACAAATGCGAAACCGTCGAACTGTCTTTACGCGAGACTGTTGCTGCGTCGATCAATTTCGTAAATATACGATCATTGATGCTAAACATCTTTATGTAAATTCCGATTCTTTAACGCTTTGACCGTCACGCCGATAACCTCAGAAATTGTATAAAATTCAAGACTTTAATATAACCGAATAAACGTGGAATAGTTAAGTGGTATGACATCAACTTCATAGACAACATTCTTATGTTTTGCGGATCTTAATGAAATTTCGAAGATGTAATAGATTAGCGGAAAAATTGATCCTCGTGTCTGTGCAAATATTTTCATCATCCACGCATGAATGACACGGCAATCAAGGTGTCAAGCTATTTTAGAAATGCTAGAAGGGAAAAAATGTCTCGTAAATTAAAATGCCAATTGTTTGTGTATGCGCGTCTGCTCTATATTACAAAATCGTATAAGTATTTTAAACATACAGAGAGATCTAGTAATTACCTGTTGATCTCTGACCCGCATACCTGACTGCACTCGTTTCAAATGTGACCAGAATTTTTCGTGCTCGCACAGTGCAAGGTGAATAAAAATTTAGCTGAATAGTCTCACGGAAACTCCAGTCGCGTAAATCAATTATACATGTATCAAGTTGATGATGTAATTTCTGAGAATTAGATGAAAATTTTACGAAATAACGAGCTGCATTCGTGTATACTTCAAGGATGATATGATTCATCAATACCACAGTCTTGTCAAGTTTAACAAGCTAATTGTCGAATATCAATCACAAAGAAGCCTGTAGCATTAAAGCAATTTACCGACGTAAAATGAATCTGAAAAGTTAGGATTTATCGTAGTGATTTATCGTAACGATTTATCGTAGTATAATTCTTTTACGTGTAGACAATTTGAATAACATTCAATGTACTCCAATTATGCTGCAATAAATGGGAATTTCCAATCCTCGTCAAAAGATAGTGTCATCTAATGACTAATGTGTGCTATTCGTTTCCTTAAAATATCCACTTTTTGTTGCTAATCAATAGATGCATTGGTACTACAATGTCTACATACAGTGGCTCCCATTAATATTCAGACACTTTTCAAAACTTGATAACTTTTTCAAAACTAGAACAAATGATTTGAATTTCTTTTTAGATGATAGAGGGATTAGTATACTAGACAGTGACTAAACTACTTTGTTACAATTTTGGTATTACTTAGAATGACAAAACAAAATAAAAATCTCTCGTTTTCTAAATCTTTTTATCTGAGTTATTGGTCGAAAGTGTCAAAAATCGGGACAAAACTGTGATTTTTGCGGTCTTTAATTGTTTACAGCTCATACGAAGGTCAACCGATTTCGATGAAATTTTTAACATGCATACAGCTTACCGAGATCTACAAAACACATTTTTTAAATTTTCGTTCTAGGCCCAGATAAAAAAGTTAAAAAACGAGAGTTTTTTATATTCTTTTGTCAGTCTAAGTAATAGCAAAATTAAAAAAAAACATTCTAGTTATGTTCTAGTAAACTGGTCGATCTATCATCTAATAAAAAAGTTCAAGTCGTTTAGGCCAGTTCTAAAAAAGTTATTGCATTTTGTATGTTTTTTTTGTCATTGTACATATTTATCATATATTTCCACTTTTGCTATATAATTGTCGAGGATAAATTTAGTGCACATTTCATAAATACAGAATACATTATATTAAAAATTTCAAGCGAAACATAGTTTGTCGAAGTAAAATCGTAAAGGTCAACTTATTTTTAGCAGTCTGAATTCGGTCTTCATATCATCAACATGTACAACAGACTCTGCGAGGTAGATATCCTAATCAAACAAATATAAATACTTTTGATAACTGATTCTTAATAACTGCTAATATTTCGTACCGAACCATTTTCTTGAAACAAAGTCGAGAAGAATTTCTAACATGCTAACACACAGCATGATTTCTGCGTATTGTGCGTTCAATAGGAGTTCTTTAAACGTTTTTTCAAGCGTTCAATAACTCCATTCAAAACGTTCGATAGCCTTGTCGAGCCACGCCCCTAAACGATAACGCTATCAATCGTGAATTGGAGAGGACTGAAATAGAGATTCGGTAAAAAGAATCCACGAAATTTCGTAGAACACCGACATAAACAAATGCTCGCACGATGAACTACGTCATCGTGACTTGTTTATTTCTGGTTGCCCATAAAGAAACAATTTCTCATTATGTTTACGAAGTTTTCCCACATGCGTCTGTTTTGATGTCGGCCACTGTTTCTAGGAATAGCTCGCAGACTTCCTTGAACAATCATTAGTCTGATGAACCTTTTTCGAGATTTTCATTAAGATAATGGGTGTGGCAGTATACATGACTGCTATCATACTACACACTGAAAAGTAAATTTACATAATTAATTAGCAGTATCATTTTCAACGGAATTGTGTACAAATTACCATCGATTTTTTCAAAATGGCAAAACTATTGTGCCAAAGAAGCCAGCTATACTTTTTTAAAAAGTAAAAAATTCTGAGAAAGTTTAATGACTTCTAAATTTCTATACTACATATAATAGAAAATAGAAATATACAAGTTGACTCCCCTTCTCTCAGTTTTTGTTTAAATATTAATAAAAATGTAAAAGTTACTTTGAGTTCATAATTATTCACAGCATTGAAAGTGGTCCCCTTCAACTGAGACACTCTGCATATTAAAAAAAAAAACTTAAGAAAATGTGCGTACATTTCTATATTAGAAATAACAGAAAATATAAATATACAAATATAGTATTTTGTTAAGTTTTTGGTTAGATACGAGTAACAATATAAAAGTACACATTTAAATTCAGAGCTGCAGAATCTTGCAATCCGTCAACGAAGTCGAAATTATAAGGAATACTATTTCGAAAAAATCTTAGATACATAGAAAGCTATTTCTGGAAGCTGAATCCCGTATTCCACTCGAAACAATTTGAGAATACCGCGCAGGAGTTATGTAAATAAAAAATGAATGCGATATAAACAGTTTTCTAGAAAAAATTGAAATATCCCCTAATCGTTTAACCGTTCCTGTTTTAAAGTGAACAAAAATATTTAATCCGCGAATCGAAATTTGACGTGCCAGCAGAAAATACGATGCTGCGAATAATAAACGATTGTTGATTCAAAGAAACAACGGAGAACGAATAAATGAAAAATACGAGGATTTGTTGCGTAACTATTTCTGGAGAATTGCGATGATCGAGGTGTGCATTATCCGAGGTTCGATTAGATTATCTCGTAATTTGCGGATAAAATTGACGATAATTTTGCAAACTCACCCAGAGAAATCCTCCCTCCGAGCTGATATCCTCCGCCGCGACCTCATAAGTGACCAGAGCATCAACCCGGCAAACAGGCGATCCCTTGGACACGTGGAAAAATGCCACGTTGCTTGCCGATTTCGGCAACAGCGACACGAACTCGTCAATGTACGAATTATTTTCACCGGAAACTACGTTCGTTACACAGGATCTCGTAAATACGTCGAACATGGTATCTCTCGGACAGCATCTTCTGATATTCAACAGCTGTAACGGTGACGCGTTCGGCTGTTCACGTTCCTTGGCTCCATTCTGGTTCGACTGGCAATTGACGGCCACTAGAGCGCTCTCGTTCACGTGTTCCACGTGCAGAATTTCTATACAGCTCGGCGCCTGTGAATAAAATCGATCAAAATTGTTTCGTTCGAATTGCCGCTTTAAAAATACGCCGTTCCGCCAAGCGGCTCCGCATCGACCAAATGAAATAGGAAACCGGATTTGCCGCTATTTATTTATAAATATTGACGGAAACTAAAATTGATTCGCCGACCAAACTTTCGCGGAACTGGGCCGACGTGTGCGCCGATGTAGCGCTTCCGTTCCTTAACTGTTAAATATCCTATTTGCAGCGAGACCGTAATCTATTTTTCGCAAACGCTCAACTCTTCGCGATCCTTCGCTGGAAACGATCTTGTTTTCTTTATTCTGTGTTTCTTGGCTTCGCAATGAAATCCTAAGTCTTTGCAAGAAATTCTGAATCCGTACGATACTATTCGATCGTCTTTTTTAGTCGATGCTACTTGGCTTCGAAACGAATATACCTGCTGCCTGCTGTGGGAAATTGTAACTGTTTCTTGGAGTGTCTTAGTTTATTTCACTCGTTCCTTGGCTTTCGAAGAAAGTTCAACAGTAAATTCTCCCTAATCGACGCTCAGATTTTACACAAAAATAGACAGTTTGGTGGGAAGAGGAGTTACGATTATTCGTAACTTCTGGCCCGTTTTTATAATTACTTGTGTAATAACCGTATCTCCTGTTCCCAAATTGTCCATTTTTGTGCACATTCCGAACGTCAATTAGGGAGGATTTACTATAATTTGTTTCGATACGACAGCGACGGTGTAATTTATTTAAAACTGGACTAAAATACTAGTTTATTATAGAATGACTAAAATACTATCTTAAAATTTGTATCTTTACTTAATTCTAGTTATTGATTCCTCATTAATTTATATTATTTTATTTCATCCAAGTTTCACGTATTCCAAATAAAATTCGTTCGAATTCTTCAATTACAATACTCTTCGATCATGTCTGATACAAATTGATTTATACAGAAATTACTAAACAGTCTTTACTTGCAGCGTTTACCACGTTCATATTTTAACGTTCGGCAATAAATGTCTCTTCGCGATCAAACGCAAAACAGCTTAAAACTTACTGCACACAAACAGCAATAACCGCGAAATCTCGTAATCCCTTGAAACTCACAAAGTTTCGAATTCTCAAAATGTGCTATTTCTGTGATTCGAAACTCTCGAGGCCCAGGTAAATGTTTGTATAAACAACATACGAGAATATTGTGACAAAACGAATTTATTTCTATTTAACTAATAATAATTCAATGCGTCTGTGTG